CATGGGTTAGCTGTGACAGACTGAGAACACTGAAATGTCTTAATGTTACTACATCTCAGAACAGTTGTTGCTTTCTTGTGGATTGAGTTATTCATGACACGCAATGGATGTTAGTTATAATATCTAAAATCACTTGACTATGTATAAACTAATTAAAAAAAAAACCAACAAAGCAAGCAAAAAAACCAACACTCCAGAAAAAACCAAGCCATACGCTTCAGAATCATACACACATACAGCAATAGCTTATTCCACCAAATTTTAAATGCTGCTCCCAATAGGAAGACCAGAGATCATTTGACTTTCAGCTGACCTTCAAGTGATGTAAGTTACCAATAAAGATTACTCCGCTCAAAATACTTAGAAGTTTAAAGAGAAGTTTCATGATCTTGTGAACATCCATTTTAATGTCAGTGTTCTATCTGGTCAAATCTTACTAACTGAAAATTGAAAGCCACATTCACTAGAAGACCCAAACCCACTCAATTTTCATGTTCAAGAACGGAGAAGAATGAGATTTGCACCATTACATATTCTGTCTGCAATGTCAGCAAACGTGCTGATCCTTTCCAGTACTCAGAATTTTAGGATAGTGGGTAGAGTATTAACTGTTTAAAACTGATTGAAGTCCGCCAAATAACTTGCTACCAAAACTGTCAGTCGATTCAGAAACTACACAGGTATGTAAAGAGGCATATGGTATTCATCCTGTGGGACTGATGCTGCATCTGTACTTTAACCAGGGCAATCTTTTGGAATATGTCCTCAGTGTTTAGGACTACTCCTTTCAGAAAGTAATATAAACTACCTATTTTTGAAGGCATCAAGTTATTTTACATGCCATAAACACAGCATGCAAATACACATTCCTTTCAAGACAAGCTGTAGAATGCTCACTGCAACTTCAAGATTGGAAGGAGCAGATTCTTAAGTAAGGATTACCCCAACTGCACCAGAAAGACAAACAAAACTGAGTCAAATCACCAGCATCTAATTAAAGTGTTAACTTCTGACATCTAGGATTTTTCTGAATATTCTTCAGGTAGTAAAATGCCATAGGTACTAAAAAGATGAGAGCTATCAAAGTCAATATTCACTGTGCATTTTTCCAAAGCTTACTGGTTTTAGAATATCATCTTTTGCTAAAACTAAAGAAGTTTTAGACTTAGGCTCCCATTTTCCCTTGTGAAAAACCTTTGAATGACTTCAAGCAAGAAATACAGCTAAGGCAAGAAGAGTTACATCGAAGACTGTCAGTAATTTCTTATCCCAGTTTCGTACCGATTTTTGATTGAGTTCATCACTAAGCAGTTCGTATTCTTTTGCCTTATCTTCTACTTCCTGAGACTTTTGATCATAATTGACAGCTAATTCTTCAAGGGCTTGTAACACCTCCTTGACTTCCTCTTTAGAGGCATCATTTTCAGCCTGAAGGCGATTCAACTCTGCTTGCAGGTTGTCTTGGTCCCGTCTGGTCGATGCTAGAAGCTGCAACATTGACAAATTTATTTAAAATTACAACAACAAAAAATCATCAAGAAAATTCCATGTATAAGTTGAATCTTATTAATGCTTTTAGCTACTACAATAGCTTATGTCTACATTTTTAGTGTCTAGCATCCTGCAAGAAGGATGTCAAGGCAGGTACAGTGAGAGTATAACGAACAATTAAATTTATCATCTATATCCATAGTTCTTCAGCTTTTAAAGTATTTTCAAAATGGAAGTGATTACAAATCAAGACACATAATGACAGTAACTGGAAATGCACATGGAATATTGAAAGTTATCAAAAAAGCCACTGAACCCTACTCATGAGTCAAACTGTCAACAGGCTAGGGACTAAATTTCCAGTATTTTAACATTGTTAGCTGCTGAAGAATAACTAGACAAAGTGAACAGTTGCTAAAGAGGCAGATTTATTTAAGTAAGATTAAACAGTAGCTCCAACTTCCCAAGTCCTCAACCCGTTTCCTTCTTGTCATGTACACAAATAATATTATTTTTTTAATCTTTGTGCTATATAGAATTATTTTTTCTAATACCTTGGCTAAATTAAATTCACTGTTTCATTATTAACATGTATTTTCCCCATTTAATTAAGTTACAACACTGGCAACATGTGCATACAAACTGTTTGAATGTTCTAGCAAGTACAGTCTGAAGTAACATATAAATACTTTGGTTTTCATTATGGGCCATTACATTTCCCTCCTCCCCTTCTCTCTCTGTACAGCAACTGACCAAAAGTAAACCTTAAAACAGATTTCTTACAGTAAATCAAGATATCTTCAGTTTTGACAAACTGCTAACTTTGCATGGGAAAAACAACTGCTGATGTTTTTGCATAAAATATTTCAATTCCTTCAATCTTTATGGATATTTAAGGTTCAAGTAAACTGGTTTAAGTTTAGCCATCAGCACAGTCTAAGTGGGGGGAATGAATAGGCAGAGCATCTAGATAAGGAATAAAAGGGAACTATTATACAGTAGTAACAAGCCATTCTACTCCCTGGTCATAAACTGTGACCTATTCAGAACACTTCCAGTTTCTTTAAAGGAAAGAAACAAAAATATAATAAAGATGCAATAGCAAAACTCACCTCTTCCTGATCCAACATTTGTGTTTTCAGTTTTTCTACTAGTTGGCTCTGCTGATTAATTTCTTCATCCTGCAGTTGAAGTAAGACTGTGTTCAATAAACTAACAAATACCATTCAGGAAAAATAATCTAAGAGACAGTAGACGTTAAGCATCTAACTTTTCCATATTCTCAGACAATTACACAATTGAAAGCAGTAAGAGTGGAAAATTATCCTTTTGATTTCACTGGCTGATCCACTAGACTCTTAACCTGGCATGTACGTGTAAAACATCATGTTTCAAAAATAAAAGTCTTACACCCATCCTTTTGCAAATCTTCTCCAAGTTGTTCTAACTCTCAAAATTTAGTATGCTTAAATGTAAAATTATGTTCAAATAAAATACACGTAACATGGAAGAAAAAAAACCCTGCTGTCTTCAAATTCCTCACTTCCCTGTTTTCTTATTATTTTCCTTTTTCTGGTACAGTATTATTCCAAATAATCATCCTGGAATGTTCTACACCCAGAAAGTAGAAATATCATTCAAGATTCTCACTTTTCCTTCCTAACTTTCATTTTAATCTTTTTCTTCTAGGTACCGATACTGTAGTTTTCAGGACTTTTTTAGTAGTTTCAGCAAAGGAGGGAAAGCAACTAAGATAGGATACTCACTCAGCACCAGATAAGGCAATTTTGATTTCTCTTAATCAAAGCTTCAGAATTAGAGTAGGCACTCTTGGCAAATACTTAAGCAAGTTGTACTAACAAATGAAGACTGGCAAATTAAAACATTACATAATATAGTTCAAAGATATATTTCCAAGAGGTCTTGCATTAAATAAGAATGGCATACCTTGTCATCCAGTTGTTTGTATAGTTTGGCAATTTCTTCCTCACATTTTCTTCTCTCAGCATCAGTGAAATTGCCAGTTACTCCAATTGTTGTAGCTGGTTTATCATTAATAACAGTAATATCCTTGTCCACTGCAAAAGCTTCTAAGTTGGCCTTCTCCTTGTCAAACTGTTCATCAAGTGGTACAGTCTCCCCTTAAAGAAAAGGATATACTTAGTTTTAGTACAGTTAGCTGTGCAGTATCTTCCACAAAGTTAGTCTTGAGAAGTATTACATACTCCCTACTAACAGTACTGCTCCACAGTTAATAAGCAATTGAGTTCACATCATTAGATGGCAAAAAAATGACTAGATCATCCAAACTATCTCCTGCTTACCGCAGAACATTATATTTCACCCAGTTACTCCACTATGAGCTCCAAATATCACAAACCATATCTTCTAGAAAGGCACCTAACTTGCACTGAAGACAAAATCCTTTCTTCTCCCTTGGCAGTTTGTTTTGCTAGGTAGCCACATTTACTTTTAAATTGCTTTGTTTCTAATTTAAAAGTATTTTTTCACTTACGCTTTTATCCTTTTATGTTCATTAAGCCTTTTCTTACGAGAACACTTTACTAACTTCACATAGAAAAAGTACCACATGCTAAACAAGGCACTTCTCTGGTAAACTAAACTAAATTCCTTACTGCCTTATTAAAAAACATTTTATGCAGTCCTTGGAAGGTATGGGCTCTTTCCAAAACTCCAGTATCCTGTGTCAATATTCTGGAAAAACCATACTTAACATCTCAGGTGTGGTCTCATACCATCCCTATAAAAGATTTAAAAAAAAAAAAAACAAAAAAAAACAAACTCCAACAAAAAGAACCCCCAAAACACACATAATCACAGCCTACTAAACTCATTTAAGTGAGACCATTTTTCCTTGATTTACATCAGGATGTGCTGCAGTTGTCCACAAGACTGCAAAAGTCATCTTCTATAGCTGTCAAACTCCACAATACATTTGTAAGTACAACCTACGTTCCTCCTTTCCTGAATTCAAGGCTTCATATTTAACTTGCATTTTGCCAGACACTTCAACTGATAAGAAGTTATTTATTCAGGAAGAAAGAATGGGCACACATTCCGTACTGTTAGCAATTTTGGGTTTTGGGTGGGTTTTTTTGACTATTAACATGTTTGAGTTTTAAATGAGGACAAGGTCTTGTGATATTGATTTGAATTAGAAAACCAAACCAGAGAAATATTTTACCCAGTTTCTGCATCTACAATGAATATCATGTTTTTCCCCAAAAATAAAATTTTTAGAATGTATGTAACTCTAGCTCCACTAGTAAACCAACTGTTGAAAAACCTAACACCAACATACTTTCAGACATTTTTGTCATTATGTGATTATTAGAAGCTGTTCCAGTTGCAATGCAGTGAAAAATACGAAGTTCCAATGTCAACTAATACCCTAGCTTTAATATTCTTATTACTGTCTTGCACAGTGCTTCTAATTATTTTTGGTATCCTGAAGACTAATTCAGTGCCTGTTGTCTTGCCTAAAGTTTGCAGAACAAAAATATGATTGCTTCTTACCATTCCGCCATCTGTTGAGTTCATTTTCTAGCCACTGTATGGTGTTACGCAGAGTCTTGTTCTTCTCTTTTTCCTTCTCATACTTTTTCTTCCACTGTTCAGCAGTGAGCTCCACGTTGACGCAGACCGTGTTCTTAATGGTCTTTGCTCTATACAGAAAGAGGAGAAAGCTCTGAAACCATTTTTTTAAAGAAAGCAATTAAAGGCTATTAAATAAAATTTCTACATATCACTAGTGAAAGTGTAAACATTCCCACCTCTTCCAAAAGCTTATTTCTACTCCCTGTTAACTTACTATTCTTTCAATTGGATTGATACAACTGTTAATGGACAGAGCAACACAATAAACTCTGGGAAGGCTGACAAATCTCAAGCTGGTTAAGTTGGAAAAAAACACAGCTGCATACCTTCACCTGAAAGAATTCAAGTAAGGACAGTAGTGCACAGCTTTGAACAAAGGGTAGCACTCACCACACCCACCTAGCAAACATTTCTCCAATGGAGAGCAAGGATGCTTTTTGGGTGTAAACCATCTAGCTTATTTAAGAAACAGCTCATTTCAATTTAAAAATGCAGTTACTAGATCTCCATTAACCAAAGAAGTGTTACAAGCTATAAAGTTCAGATGAGTTTGTCTACATTCGCAGCCAGGTGAATCTCACCTAAAGACATTAGCTTTGGAGATAAAACTACAGGCCCTAATAATATTTATTCATTAAGTTAATGTGTAGTTCTTTCTTTAATGCCATACTTCACTTACATCAGTAATTTTTCTGTATAGTTTCCTACTAACAAATATCCCACTCCAAAGGGCAGAACAGGAAAAAAAGGTCAATGGTAGTGAGAAATTACACACACACACACCCGCCCCTTATGACTCCTAGAAGCACCTTTCCACAAAGTCTTATTGGGACTGATTACTACCAAAAGGCACATGATTTTCTACTATATTATGTGATATTTATCTAGTCTTCAGTTAATACAGCCAAGGGTTTCAACATAAATTTAACATACCTAGAAGACTGAATTAACATACCAGACTAACCATGGTGGCTGAGATAGAAGCGTACTGTGTTAACTCCTGAAGAAGTCAAGAGCATGAGGCAGTGAAACTACAGAGCCACAGCTGGAAGACACTTCCTGATAGCTCATTCAAGAAATACTAAGAGGAAAGGAAAAGACCTCCTAGATTCTAAAAGGAGTCCAAAAAACCTCCACTGTTGCAGAATGTAGTCATTACTCCACACGCATTAACTACCCATATTCTGCCAGATTTTTAAGAAGTGCTGAAGTCATCTAGTCTACTTTCTACAATAAAAAACTTCCCTGAAAAGACTAGTAGAAAACTATCTTGTTAACTAAAGTGGAAGAGGTACACTAACACAGAAGACCAGATGAACTAAGTAAAATGCTGACAGCTTTTGTAATGTGCTCAAATAAATGAAGTGATTAAATCTAGTGGTCAGGAACTGGAGTAACAATAGCACTAATAGAGTGGTAAAGAAGAGATACCTAACAAAATACCAAATTTGAAATGGGTACTTATAAATTCAATTACAAATGACACGGGAATTTAGGAGTATTAATTCAAATGTTACTAGAATGCTAGATACAGGCAACAGACCAGAAGTGCAATACAACACGCTATCAAAGAAAGGGTGGCAGAGGACAGGTTCTCCCAGCAAATAAAGGATTCAACTTAACAGAGGAGAACTCCTTCCTCCCTCCTTCCATTTTAGGGGAGAAAAAAAAAAAGTATTAATTACCCTCCAAGACTATACATTAAACCACATTTTGAACCAAACGATACACTGTCCTCCTGGAAATACAGAGCCTTCAGGATCCTGTCCAGTTTAAGGATTTTTATACAATATGAGTTAAGATAGATCACAACACTTAGCCATATGTGCACTGAAGAATTACAGAAAGAAAGTAAACATTCAAAGTCATTTGCTTCAGGAATCTTAACAAAGTAACTTACTTATTTCTCATTCTGCATTTATTTCGGAGCACAGTAAGAGCAAAATATTAAGTCATTTACTCACCTTTGGCCAAACAGAAGAGTAGATTTAGTTTCAGATTCATTGTATGAAGACGGAGAACAGCAAATAACAATAGTGGTTCTACAATTACCCCCTAGTGAATCTTGAAGGATTCTGGTCATTTTGCTATCACGATATGGAACATAAGTCTACCGAGAAAATGGTTAAAAGAATCAGTCATGGTTTTTCAGACACATTATCCAATTTGTAGATATAAGAGCTATGTTTTTAGTAGGTATAACTTCATTAGAAAGATATTAAATTTCACTTTAATTCATAAATCATAAGACCGAACACGCATGGGCTGACATAAAATTGTACTTCTATGTTTTGTAACTTTTAAAGCACAAGAAAACTTTCAGTATGATGCTTAGGTCCTCAACATTAAATGTAACTTTATTAATCATCAGTGTCAACACAGTACAAGAGTAACAGCCATTTGCAATGCATCTATGCAATTGCATTAATTTTTTTAAAAGACTCTATGCATATCACTGAGATCAGTAAAGAATTTCTGCATAAGACCATGTTTACAGATACAATCCTTTAACCTTGAAGTATAAAAATATGAAAGAGAACACTTACACTGCTTTCAGCCAAAGCTGAGATGACGTTTCCAAGAGCAGACAAAGACTTGTTGATGTTCTTGGCCTCATCCAGCACAGCACCTTCTGCTCCAGTTTTACTAACCTACACAATATTTCAGTAAATTATTAAATGCATCTTCAAAAAACACCTTCCACATTTAATATAACATTTGAGTAATTTTTCCGCTTTTAAGTCAGTCTCCCTGACTTTATGAGGTACTCATAAACAAGCTGGATTAGAATAAGCAAACTCTTCCTCAGA